CTTTTTGGTGTCACTGTCATAAATTTCTTCATTTACTAAGAGGTAGGTCTGTATGGAGTACAGCCAACTCATAGCATTCTTCTGGTTGTTGTCAAAATCAGACAGGGCACCAATCTTCAATTCAGTGGCCTTGGTGGTGATAGTGCCAACCATTGCCTTTGATGATGAACTGGACATTGTGTTCAGAGGTGGGGGTGGGGGTGTAGGAAGTGTGGTGGCAGGTACTGGTGGGATGGGAGTACCAAGCATGGCAAGGGACTGAGTAAAGAGGTTCAAGAGGATACCAGCAGTGAATCCTCTATCTGGTTGTTTGGGTTCATTGGAGGAGGTGTTGGTGACAGTGATCTCCTGTTCTTCATCAGAGGACAATTCTTCATGAGTGGGTTGCAACAGTGCCCAATGTCAGTTATTTCAGGGGTTCATGGTGGTGCACTAAACAGTGACCAATTCAGCCAAAGGCTGGTAGACTTGAGCTTTTGTTATGCTCGACTGAAGTCAAGATGTAGGGAGAGCTCAAATGCAGACAATGGGTTTCTACTGAGCAATGGCTGCAGTAACCTTTGTAAATGACAAAGGATTTGGTCAACACCAGTAAGAGTGGTCTGGGTTAGGGACACTGAGGGTGAAGTTCTGAGAGAATGCTGCATATGATTGAGCAGCTCAAGTCTGGGTTTCCAGGACTTGAGCCAACAGCCTAAATACTACACAAGAGACAGACCATGAGGCATCTGCATGTAATGAGGTGACTATGCTATTGGTTGAACAATAGTGACACATGTCCTAAGCATGTAAAGAGCAAGTAATGCTAGTGGTGGAGATAGTGAGCCATCAGATCAGAGAGGAGATGGCTCGAAAAGGAAAGATAGTCCAACAGGTCAAACATGAGGTAAACACTAAGTGAAAAGAAGAAATAGGGGTGAAACATAACAGGAATCACCAGCTCCTGAGTTAGGTGGACCCATGGCATCCACTGATCCCTCTGTAGATGAGGTAAGTGGCTGTGGACAACCAATTTAACATATTCTAACCACATAATGTACCTACATTGTACCATATGACAGGGCCAGCAGAGGCTGACAATTTGCTGTGTCCCATGGGCCAGTGGAGGTCAAGCCCTACACTGAGTCATCCCCCTTCTGTATGGACCAGCCCAGCTTCTATTATCAAATAACACATGAGTAGGCCACAATCAAATTGTCCCTGTAGTACCTGGAGTAGCCTAGTGTGAGATGTCACCTATCCAGTGGCATGCTGTGGCATGTGCAGATCAGCACTGGAAGTTGGCACAAGACCTTGACATGCTTTGGGATAGCTCAGCAGTGTAATGTTGTAAGATTTTGGAGCACTCCAGGGCATACCATGGCCCTCTGGGGTGAGCTGTGGCATATGTTCCTAAGTGAGCTGTGGCAAGCCAGCCACTCTGGAGCAAATGGTGGAGCATGCCATTGTCCTCTGGGGTAAGCTGTGGCATGCCAACCAATCCAGAGCAAATTCCAGAGCACACTGCAGCACATGTGCCAGAGTATACCATAGCATGTGCCACAGCATGCCAGCCACTCCAGAGCAAATTCTGGGACACACTATGGCACATGTGCCAGAGCATACCATAGCATTCCAGAGCAAATTCTGGAGTAAACTGTGGGACATGTGCCAGAGCATGCCATGGCCCTCCAGGATAAGCTGCAGCATTCCAGCCACTCCACAGCAAATTCTGGAGTAAACTGTGGGACATGTGACAGAGCATACTATAGCATTCCAGAGAACTCCAGAGCAGTCAATGGCCCTCTGGAATAAGCTGCAGCATATGTTCCAAACCAAGGTGTGGCATGGCAGACACTCTAGAGCAAATTGCAAAGCAAACTGTGGCACATGTGCCAGAGCATACCATAGCATTTCAGAGCACTCAGGAGCATGCAATGGCCCTCCAGGGTAAGCTTTTGGCATATGTTCTGAAGCAAACTGTGGTGTGCCAGCCACTCCAGAGCAAATATTACCAGCATACCCTGCACACCTACCCCTTGCAGATACTACCAGAATTGGCATAGCTTAAAAGGTTGGCATTCAGTACCACAAACTGGGATGCAGCACCATGTATTCAGAAGCAGTAGCAGCTGGAAGATATGGCATTCTGCATTATGGCACATTGCAGCATGCAGCATAATTCATGGGGAAGTTGTGGCAACATGTACTGCAGCACCTGGTGGCACCTGCTCCATAAGTCCCTGGAGGGTCACAGCAGCCAGTGGATATTGCTCAGCACATGCCAGCAATGTGGCCAAGTCAGCTAGACTTGACAGGGATGCCTGGCAGCTGGTGGCATGGGCATGGCATACAGTGGCAAACACCTGACTGGCTTAGGATCCACATCAAGGCTTGATGTGTGGCATGGATGGTTCTGCATACAGCAGCACACAGTTAGATGCAGAGGAATAAACCAGCAGTTCTCAGCAGCCAATGGCATTGACCCAACATACTGTGGCACACATCAGGATTGAGTAGGATTCATGTCAGCATGTGGCATCCAGCACAGATAGTTCTGTATACAGCAGCACATAGCTAGGGTACTATAGATATGGACATGAAGCATAGCATGAATTGTCAGTATACTGCATATCTTACCACCAGTATAAGATCATAACCTATACTTCATATGATCACAGAAGGGTGGCTAGTAATATTGCATTGATTTCATAGATTTCATTCAAACTGGGATTGTGCCAATCAAATACTGGATGCCTGGGGCATTAAATAAGGACCAATACAATACAATACAGGGTGCCATGGGTGATTTACATGCCTGTGAGAGCCTGCCACACCAATGGAACACACATCCAATTGCTTTGAGGGACTCCAAGCCAGTTGTGAATATTGTCCTGCATGTAGAATGCTAGTGAGCAACAGTTGCCACTCACATCATTCACACCATGCTGCAAAAGCTGGCCAGAAAAGGCTACAACAGTGCCAGGCCAGCAATTGAATTGAAGACCAAGAGAGTGAATGTCAAGAACACATTCAGAATAATTGCCAACACTAATGAGCATGTCATACCAGTCAGCATGGGATTGTGGGTCATGATGGAGGGGAGCCAACCAGTTAGCAATCATGGAGATGTTGGTGTAAACTGTTGGCCAGTGTTGGAGTGCTGCTGACATTTTGGGATCATTCATGGTAGACCACTCAGTCAGCTGCCACATGGCTTGGTGACTGGCATTGTACAAAGGAGGGTGCATAATTGAAAGTGTAGCAGAGAGAATTGCTAATGGCATTTGGATGGCATGGATCCATTGCTGAGCAGCTGGAGCTGCAAGGTCAGCAGATATGGAAGGCTGGTGTGCCAGTGTCTACAACATTAGCAATAAGTATTTTGAGATAAAGCATGAGGATGACCCTCATGGCATGACCAAGTTGATGCTGGGCTGGCAAAAGCTCTAAGCAGCCTGCCAGAAAATGGTGATCCACTGGAAAGTAATTGGGTGATGTTCACCAGGAACCATCAGATATGCTTCAAGTCAACATATTGGAGAGTGGGGGAATAGCTCCCACCATCTGGTCCTTGGTAGGGTTGTGAACTGAGGACAGCAGGATACATCACAATGCCTACCTGCATTGATTGGGACATTGCACTGGGTAGATACCACAAAGCAATTGCATCCCCTTCACCCAGAATGATTGCAGGAATGTCCAAATACCCACTCAGATATGGTGGATGAGTGGAAAGGATGTGGGCCTCCCAGTTCAAATTGAAACCTGTTTCTCGAGGTGATAGGCTTTCTGACAGCCTGATTAATTCAATGCCAGAGGGAACTGCAATAAATGTTAGCAGGACACGTGGCAGCACTCTTAAAATGGCATATGGGGATTATGATAGGCCTGGGCCAGTGTTGCTGCCATTTGATTGAGCACAATACATGTCTGGACCTCGAGTTCAAGAGGTTATGGTGGGACAGTGGCAGTGCAAGGATGTGTCTCATGGAGAACTCAGCAGCACATGTACTCTGCAAGCTGGTCAGAAAGTAGATAGTTGGATGGGAATGTGCTGGTACCAGACATTTCTAATGCAATCAGGTTGGGGAAGTTAAGGGAATCCACCAGCAACAAGTGGGATACTGTCCAGAGACACAAGGAACACACATGGCACAGATCCCTCCAGCTGTGGCAATTGTGTGGCCAATGTTGTCAGCAATTGTAGTGACTAATGTGGCAACATTGAACTAAATGCAGCATAGAAGCTCTCTGCAGCAATGAGACCACAGCCTCATCAGCATTTTGGAATGTGGCCTGGCCAGAACACAACCTTGAACAGCTGTGAATGCTGCTGAAATATACATTACAGAAGATATCAGCTCCTTCCACATGTTCCAATTGGGGGTTGCACATTTCTGATACTGCTGGCAACATGAATCAAGGTCCAGATTACCAGCCTGTTTCACTAGTGGCATTGTTGAATGGGCAGTTTTGGAGCACTGTGCCAGAGATGGTTCAATGGCACTGGCACATCATGGATATCTGACTGTGAACCTGGTGGATGGCTTTATAGACTGCTGGCCCAAGAATGACATTGACATGATTGGGGCCATGGGGAGAAGAGTACACAAAAGACACAGTGATCATGGGAATGCCTCTATACATTTACCAGCATTGATTCTAATAATGTAAAGCTACCAGCCCCAAAGGAAACTCATTATAGATGGTTGATAATATGTACAGCAGCTGTATATTCATTCCCACACCTTTGACACTGACTCCACCCACACAACCTGTAAAGCAAGTTTAGATTGGGTAACAGCTTCCAGTGATGACATCTGCTCCTGTGAATGTAAGATTAACTTGGAAAGATATGATAACTCCTGATTGATATCCTTCAAGCCTTCTGTGCACATCATGTGTAGTGCAGCATGTTTGGCAGTGGGTGATGGGTGTGAATTAATAAGCAGGGGTGGCAAAATGCTGCCATTCTGATACCATGGGTGAGTTGGAAGTGAGCAAAGGTGTGCTGCCACTTACCAATACTCCTGCAAAAAATTCTGCAGCTTCTGCATTATGTCCTGCAGTGGTCTCCTCTCATATCCCAATTCCACTTTGCCACTGTCATTCTGCCACCATGCATGGGCCATGATAGTGGCCAGTTTGACATGGCACTCCTTAATCCTTGTCAGGCAGGGATTCAAGCTTTTGATGAAAGCTAAAATGTTGTGGGGACTTCAATTGCCATTGTTCAGGTATGTTAACAGCCTGTTGGCTGTGAGTGGCATGATTAGGGTAATGGGATGGTGAGATGCCACACTCATCAGATGCTCCATTGTACCCTGTACCACTATCAACCATTGCACCACCACAGGAACAGTGGCTTACCACTTCTGCCAGGAAATGTTGATACCAACTTGTGTGCCAGTATTCAGACCAATCCAGCTTCTTCATGGCAGTGACAAGGCAACAAAACCTCATTCCCAAGTACTGTACAGCCATGGAGAGTTCAGCCATGGTGAACGTTGATGACATGACTTACCAGCATGAAAGATGAGATGTCATACTATATAAGCATTGGCCAACTTTCCCATGGCTTTGCATGGTGGCATGCATCTGCCATTAAGGCAGTACTCATTAGCAAATGCTTAGCTTGCATTCAACTACACCAACCAATATACAATTGATAACCCCAGCATCATTTGGGAGATCTCAAGAATGATGTTGTTGCAGATAGCTAGTGGTCTCTAGATGGAAATGGTTCACAGAAGACATGCTAATCTGCCATACATCTGGTATTGCCATGTGGCATAGCATGCTGGCCTGGCCTGTCCCTTTGCCAATGTGGCAGCCTTTCTGCCAGTCCAAAATCTTACCTTGTTTTCAAAGAAGTTTCTAGTCCACTCCTACTTGCATTCCAACAGCTGAACCTCCTCCTTCCATCTGTCCCACAGTGCTCTCATCTGGAGCCAATTGACCCTGTAAACTAGAGAAAATGATAAGTAAATCTCAGATGCTGCTGCCATGTGATTGCTCCTCTCACATTCTGACATCCAATCATTAGTGGCCATGTCCCTTGGTACATCCATTGTCCAGATCCAAGGTAGGGTATCATCCCTGTGACCTCTGGCATTTGGGTCAGATACTGCCATACTGATAGTTAGGTTGGAGTCATTCAACTCTTTGTATTGCTCCAGGATGTCTGGCCCAGCCCCTAACCTGCCCATTTGAATGTGGCACTGGCAGTACACAGTGGCATGACATTGCACAGCTGCTTCAGCATTGGCCACCCTTCCCCAGGCACACATGGCCATGTGGTAATTACTTCCATGGCAAATGTCAGTTTGAAAGATGACTGCCTTCTCTGCAAGCACAAGCCACAGTTCATGAAGACAATCATTGGCCTGTCCTTGCCACAGTTGCAGCTCCATTAGTGTCACATACCCTAGGCCAGATCATTCAAAATGATCTTTGCCAACATTGAATGGAAGTGGCAATGCAATGGTTTCTGGATCATGCAGGTTAGATGGCCAGCACAGCTTGGCATCCTTGGATCTGTCCCCAATAGCTTTTCAGCAGTGTTGAAAATGCCATGTATATGGGACTGGAGATGATCATGGTGACATGCAATGGTGAGATTTTGAGCTTCTGTTGCTCTTGAGGTGATGTGCCAGCATGCCACTGCAAGCTGGATTTGTGCTTCCTCTATCTTCAATGCCTTCACAATCCAGGTCACCATACCCTGTGAATGCCCTGGCTGAGGGATGGCCAGTAAATCTATCTTGATTGCCTTTGCAGAGGGAGCTTCAATACCACTCAGCCCAAATCCTGTCCAGGATAACCTTCAATACCTACCTTTCTGCAGCCTGACTTCATATATATCCATGGCCTGTGGCCTTGACAGCTGGTTGTCCAATGCCACTGCCACTTCTTCCCCCCATGATTGGCTGATTGCCAGTGGGACATTACCATTCAAATCAGCAAACCTGCCTTCAACCACTAAATAAGATTCCTCAGCAACCTTGAGTTTCCACTTGAGTCTCATTGCTGTAGCCTGTTAGCCATGCAACCATGTCTGATACAAGCACTAGACTTATGCATTCTGACCATTTTCAGGAAATTGCTATCATTCATTTGGAAATCAAGTACCTCCTGCTGATGGGGAGTAGCCATGCCTCTAGCAGATGGGGAAATGATATTCAGGGAGGACCACAAGGTTTCCATGATCTCCCCATCCACCTGGCCAGTGCCCACAATGAAATTGGGAGCATATCATGCAAAGCATTCTGTGTGGTGGCCATGAACATGCCACAACCCAATGCCAGGGCAGATCCACATGCCATCTGGCATGGATATATAGGCATTGGCATGTAGCTGTCATTCTAAACCTTTGCTATACTGGCAGTTAATATCATAGAAATGTATCACTTGCTGGCCAGGGACTGTGCCATGGCTGATGGCATGCACAAGTGCATAATCCATGTTAACCTGCCTGTGATGTTGATGTCAATATTGTCATACATTGTTACAAGGTTATTCATACTGTTTGCCCTTCTGGAAGTTGACCATTGCATGCAGCACAAAACAGCCATGCCATGCACAGGCACATCCACCTATTCCTGTAGATGTGAGCTGCTGCTGGTTGGCATTTGCTTGATTAACTGCCCAATGATTGCTGCAATCTGAGATCTTGTAGTGTGATCAGTCCATCAGGTAATACATTCCTACACATCACCCACCTCAACCACATTTTTAGTGCTGCTCAAATATTCCTTGTATGGCTGTGATGCAACCATGTACCCCTTTCCATCCATCAACCAGGCTTTGCTGCCAGTGTCCTTTGGATGCATATGCTCTGCCTTGAAATTCCCATCCATGACCAAGCTTCTTGCCAGTGTCCAACTGGATTACACAGTGTATAAATGGCTGGTGGTGTTCATGGTATTACTCACTGGGAATAATCTGTTGCATCTTCAGGAATGTTGATGTTGGGTTGGGGACATGCTGGACAGAATAACACTAATTCCCTGGGGCTGGCATCTTCTGCACTCATGTGGGATCCCTGCCATTTCAGTAGTTTCAGGAGCCACCACATCCTAGCAACTCTCAGAAGTTCCCTGTGCCTATCCTATCATCCAGCTAAGAGTTGTGTTGCAGTGATACAATTCAACAAATAGGACACATTGGCACCAGATGAGGAAAGGCATTGGAGGTTATGCAGCAAAGTTTGCTGTAGAAATTCATTGCTGAGGTACCACATTCCACATTGTCCTGAACAGAGTCATCAAGTACTTGGAAGGTAAATGCAGTCCTTGTGGCCTTTGTGGTAGCAGGCAACATCCCAGCCTGCATCAGCTGTATGTGTGAATCCTCTGCCCCAGGGCATCTACAATACCACACATTGCAGTAGTGTATTCCATTGGTGTGCACAACAATTAGACAGCTTCAGTTCCTCAGGGCTTGCAAATTTGGTGGACAACCATCTTGATCCACATCCTCCCAATCATCTTCCTCCTCAGTTGTGACTTCATCATTTGAACAACCACTGGCTGGGCAGTGCTTCCCACCATGCCCAACATGCAGTACCAAACTGGCCTGAATGGTAAATACAGGAACAACCATCATGATTCAGCTGCTTACCAGCTGCAGTGATGATTCCTCAAAGAATGTTCCATTCCATTGTTCCACCCTGTGGAATGGCTGGTGCTTGTGTTCTGCCTGGCAACACATGGTGCAGAAGACTGGCTGATGGGCACCCTCAGTGCACTGGAAAATTCCATCTGCTCCACACAGGACACAATCCCTTGGCTCAGGTGGGGCCTCCATGTTCAACAGGATGGCTAGATAATGCTGTTGGTGTGGAAACCACTGCTGCAGATAACTATTCTACAATTGTGTGACACTGTCATTGCAGGTTTGTTGGGCAATGCAGCATTCCACACACCTGACTTTTCTGAGGTTTAGAAGGTGTTGCAGGTAATACATCATTATTGGAAGGCAGTTGTTCACCCACATCATCCAACAGGCAGTCCAGGTGATCCAGGATAACAGAGCCAGGCTGCACAGGAGGCTGAGTTGCATGGCCTGGCACCCACTTTCTGGGTGCTACTTTTACCATCTTATCCCTATATCCTCAGGTGGTTTTCACTCTTTGCCAGGTCACCTGGGTCACTCTTGTAGCAGGTCCTGCTGGTGTGATCTTTGACTTCCCCATGATGAATGTTGCAATGCAGAAGGGTTTTGATCACAACAAATACATGCAGCTGACATGTGCTAGCAAGGTCTGACCACCAACTATGGTAATGCTGTTTTAGGATCTGGCACATGATTTCAGTGCTGGCACCTGCACATTGCCTAGAGATCAATGAAATGAATGAGCACTTGCAAAAAGCCTTGTCCTACATCATGCCCATAGTGCCTATACTATCCACAGTGTCTCAATGCACATTGCCTGATCCCAGATCCATGAAGTCTGAGAGGCACTGCCTTTGCATGTGGCTTAGGGATGGAAATCTCATGATTGACTAACAACCTTAGCCATCTTGGGAAACTGTCTGATCAACTGGCATGCAAGAATGGACTAGACACTGAAATGTAACCTTAATTGACATGGGAGAATGCCGGAGAAGTCTATTCTCTTCAACAGACATCATACTAGCTGTCCCCTGAAAATTTGCACACAAGCACCTCCATCCTCAATGGCATCCAGTGACTATGAAAGTGACTCTTTCTCCAACAACACCAAACCCTCCCTGCCACAAAAGGGGTCCAGTCTTCAGCCAGCCAAAATTGAGATTCTTGAGGCCAAGCTAGAGTCATGGAAAAATGCCAACCAAAACAAGATAAAGAACCTTGATGTGAATGTGACACTGAAAATGGATGAATGGGTTCAGAAGAAGGTGTGCCACACCTGCCATTGATTACCTGGCATGTCCTTACCATTTCCAGGCAATTCAGACTTGGTTGTACAACCATGGCTGGAGCCATAGTCGACAGGCTCTGATCAAATATGGTGGCAGTTGGACACTGAGGAAGGTGGTCATGCACCATCAAAAGAAATCAATCAAAAAAGTGTTGGAAGAAGCAGGGATCAAGCAAGGATCCACAGAAATGATCAAGTCTTATCAGAAGGCCATCAGCACCATCATGAAGTCCCTTACTGCTGAGGAGATACAAGAGACTGAGGCATTGGCCAAAGAATGGAATGAGCAGCAGCCACCTTGGGATGTTCAGTCAGAGTATGTACCATTTGGCAATGCTGCCCATCACTCACAAGAAACAGAACTGCAGAGAAGAAAGGCCATAAATATGTCAAGGAATTTGCTAAGGAAATGTGGAAGTGGTGTGGTGCCAGGGTAGTAGTGATGGCAGCATAGGAAGATGCCAATGGAGCAAAGATGCTGCTCCATGGTCAAGGCAGAGAAAGAGCAATGGGAAACCTAAAACCATCCTGCCAGTCAGCAAAAATGGCACACCATACATCCTGAACATATTGGACATGTGGGCACCAAAGTTTAAGGATATCATGCAGATGTTTGTGACATTTCACTATCATATGTATAACAATAGGAGAAATACTGTTCATTGACATGTGTTACAGGGAAGGCCTGCAGGAATTCACAGGTGACTGTTCCATGGAGCACAATAACAACCAACACTGCACTTTATATTGCACCACAGTTTCTGCCACCTGAGGTTCCCTTCAAAGAGCCAAGTCAACTTACCCAGGACAAGTTGACAGTAATCTTGGAATGGTGGCAAGAGCAAAAAGAGCAGCATCCCAACAATATATTCAGCTTCAAGAAGTGGAGAGATGCTGGAGGGTCCCTCTGAATGCCAGTGGCAGAGGCTGACAGCAGTGGAGCGAGGATGGGTGCAAAGCAGGATTTGGATGGGAGCCCAGACCACTCAGCAGGTGAAAGGATGATGGATAGAATGATGTGGGGTAGGAGGAAGCAGCGATGGAAAACAGGTATGAAGGAATGCATCTGGAACTTAAATGTGTGGCAATATTATCTAATGGGGGACAAAGTTGTAGGGTCTGATTCTGACAATGAATCCAATCTCTGTCAAATACCACCAACATTGCTGTCAAACAGAAATGATGGTACAGGCACAAGAATGGTGGATGAAGATGCCACAGAGGCAGTACCATTGCCAGATTCCCAGCAGCAGATTGCCAGATGCCAAGTGGCTGAGGGTGACACCTGCCAGCCAATTGGTAAGCCAGCAGGACCATAACAGCTGAATATTGTTAACATTAATGGCTGACATGTTTCAGCCATTGGCAAGCAACCACCAAATGCCTGGCAGCAGGTTGTGGGTGGCAATACAAGCCCTGTGCAACCTATGCCAGAAGGCCACCACATTGATTTGCCTGATTCTCTCTGCCCAGCAGATCCTTTGGCAGTGCCAACAACTATCAAGAGAGGCCATAAACAGGAAGATTCAAAGTGCAAGTTGCCCATTCCATCAATAAGTCAGTACTTGTGCCAGTCACTGAATTGTTAATTCAATTTATCTCAATCCTAGTACCCATGCACCAGACTGGCATAGACAATGTGAGGGGTATGCAGCAATCAAAATGGGTGCAGAAGGCACCAAAGTGGCCCAATGATGATGTTCCTACTCCTAGTCCCTCCAAGAAATGTAGGTGATGTTAGCATTTGTATTTTACATGGCCATGGAATGTGATACTACATTTTGACAACCAACAGCTACAATTACAATAAATCCTCATCCAGTTCCAATTCATCCTTGCCATCCCAATCACTGGTCATCAAATCTTGTATATATTACTGAGTCCTTGCCAGCTGCACTCTCCTTGCAAGCAACAGGCAAAACCAGATGCTTGATTCCACCAATATATTGCTGTAGTGGTTGTAGGCTGCAACGATTGGCCCATTGGTGGTGGTGTTAAGATGGGGTGGGTGTTCATCAGTCAGTCCTGTGAGAAGAACTGCAAGCTGCCATGCTTTTTCCACTGCTGGATGATTGATATATATGTGAGGGATATCATAAAACAACTTACATGTTGTAATTGGCCCTTCTTCATGAATTCCTTGTATACCCAAGTCACTGGCAAAACATTGCAGTGCCAAAAAGCAAGCTAATACACTTAATACTGGTGGCAACAAGAGATGACATGGCACTCACCGGCAGTGGCATTGGTGGCTGTAGGCCATGGAGATGGTTGCCATGATGTAGCTGGGATGGGCTGTGGCTCAGAGGCTGCTGCACCATCTAACCACTCATCCATATATGCATGATCCAGGGGAAATGGCACAGTTTGTGGAATTTGTGCAGATGCTGGCAACAATCTAGGTGGGGGTGAGACTGCCAGGGAAGATGTTGGCAAATCCCAGCTAGGCACAATGGTGGCCAAGGATGGCATGGAATGACTTGCTTGCCATGCCTCCTATTGTTGATCAGCAGCAGATGGCTGCACCTCCAGTGAAAGTGGTGGGGAGTCCCAAGATGGTGCAAGCATGCTGAGTGATGGCTGGGAAGGGCTGGCATTCAGTGGCATGGAGGATGATGGTGATCCTAGCTGATGGCCCCAAGCTGCAGCATTCATGGCCACTCTGAATGGTAGAAATTCTGGTTCATCTACAACCATATCTGTATTGTCAGTGCCTGGCAATACCTGAGGTTTATTATGCAGGGAGATGACTGGTGAAGGTTATTGACAGTTGTATGTTATAATGACTACTTACATTGAGTGTCCCGACTGCCTGGCCTCCACCTTACTGACTTTTGCTCCATGATATTCAGTGATCTGTAGAATGTTGATAAGTTGATTGAAATATTGTTCAACTGTGTCGCAATGTCGGATTTGGCTATTTGGGCTTGTTTGTCTACCAGCCAGTGTTGATGCCAGCACAATGGTTCATGAAAATATAAAATGCAGCTGCACTGCTGACACAATTGTCAACTATCACTTGACTGCACTGCTCTTGCACCAGTACCCCACTTCCACAAAAATGTCCCAACACACTGAAGCATCCCAAACTGCCACCACCACTCCCTCTGTCACTCTCCCATGTGAAATAGTCACTAATACTGCAGACATAGTCATGGTGGAGCTTTTGACACTCCATGACCACAGGAACAAGCAATACTGGAAAAGAGCTATGCACATCATTTGGGAACAGTTGGTTCATGGCATGCCCATCTATTTATCCTCTGATATTTACAACATTCCAGACCCATGTGCACCCTTTGGTTGAGGAACTGCCCTCAAAATTCACCATCCCCACCCACATCATTGCTGCCAAAATGATTATGAGAGATCCAGTGGTGCTTATGGCATTGAAGGAGTGGCTGAATGTTGACAAGATCAGAGATGCAATGGATGCCAATGTTGCAGACCATCTGTGGTACCAGATTGGAAGGCCTGTTGGTAAGGGTAAAGGGCATGCAGTTCCATTAGACCCACTTCAGATAAGTGACAATGCTGCTGACACTTTGGAAGAACCCCACAGCTGATCAACCAGTTGCACTGCTCCTACTGGCACTTGGCCCAGAAGTTGAAGGCCACAGAAGCATACAAGGTCAATGGCAGCAAGTGATGCTGATGTTTCGATGGCAACTGCTGGAGCATCTGCCAGTCATGGCCACTTGGTTGCAGCTCTTGCAACCCCTGCCACTGGCTATATGCCTGTTGCCAAAGAAGACTGATGTGATAGGTGCATGGAGAAAAATCTGCCATGCACAGTCAAGCCAGGTTCTGTGTGTTGGCAGTGTAGCTGCCAGAAGTACAGGTGCAGTATCTTCACTGGAGTGAAGGCTGCATGGTCACAGTCAAGGTGACCCTGCAGTTGTGCTGTAACTGAGGCACCTGATGGAGCAGTGGACTGTCCCCAAACTGCCACAGCCACCCATCCCCCCAGCTGATGCCATCCTCAAAGCCCTTCACCAGGGCCATCAGCCACAATATCCTCAGAACCCACCACTCCTGCATGGCAGACCCAGAAGTGGCAGGCAGCCACTAGAAGTATGACACCTGCCACTGGCAAGACAACCACCTTGGCTGCTCCAAGCTCCCACAGGCAAAGTAAGTTCTCCATTTCTTTCATTCCACTATTCTTATTTGAGCCTAACATAGTTTTCAATGCAGTGGTCATTGTCACTCCATCCTGGTGGCAGTCAGGTTGGCAGACATCAAGCCCAGCATCCCAGGGGGTGGCAACATCCCAAAGCTGTCTCACTACCCCATCCCACCCAGTGACCCCCAATGCCACCCCCATGGAGCATATGGAAGAGGAGATCACAGCATTGCAGCAGCAGCATATGGAGATGGCACAAGATCTCCTAGATACCCACTGCAAGCTTGCCAATACCCAGTGGGCCCTTGCAGATACCCAGACTGAGTTGCAGACACTTTGTGATCTTGTTGAGGCCTTATGCCAGTGCCTGTACCCATTGCCACACTCCTCACCTGATGCACCTGGATCCTCCTGCCCCTCCCCCATTGGCTTTGCGATTACAAGTCATCAAGCAGTTGTTCCCACTGATAGTGCAAGGATACTTGACCTTGTGCCCACTATGATGGTCCAGGAGGTTGCAATTGATACCAGCATCCTCCAGAGCCTCCTGGGTGATATGCTTTTAGCCCCTTCTACTTTCCTGTTGCCCCCCCCCCCACCATTTTCATACTCATCTACCCCTGGTGTAGGAGAAGCCTGGCCCCCTATATATGTCTCTTTTGGGGCAGTTGCTGACCATGCTGGTGGGGACAATGCTGATGATGAGGATGCCACTAATTGGATGGATGTAGATTAACATGTCCATAGAATGTACTATTACTATTTCATTGTCACTATTCCTGAGAATCATCATCCCTGCCCACTTTTGCTTTACATGGTGCAGATATGGTCTCTCTGGTGTGTGCTATCCCATTTGAGTCTGGCCAGGCAACTGGCCTTGCAATTTATAAATCCACTGGTACAGCTAAGCTAGTGCACACTGGCAGCACCCTCAAATCATGCATGGTACTTGCCACATATCTCCTGCACAATCACAAGGGTTTAACCTTCTGACCCAGGTTGTGGCCATGCAATCATGGCCTATGCTGCTTAATGCTGATGCTGCCAGTGAATAGCGCTTGACATTGCCCATTCCTGTCTATGCCACTCAATGCGTCCCAGTGTCCTACCCTCTCAACAACAGCCATTTATGCAATATTTGCCCCAGACTTCAATCAATCAAGTTAATGTAAGTACAATGAGTTACAACTAGGTGCTTACCATGTTTTAGAGTGCAAATATGCAGCAGGAGTCATGCATTGCCTTTCTGCAAGATCATTGCAATGTGCTGGAATGGCATTTGGTCAAGGTAACCATGGAACATGACACAATCAAGTAAGATATTAGTTTACAGGCTGTCTATTGCTAATCATTACACAGGAGCTTCTTTGACAAACTCACAAACATAGTCAACTCAGGAACATGTGATCTGAGTTTACTCAGGAGTAACTCGCCTCTACAGCTTCTGATGACCACAGGTGAGAAGCCCCCAATGCATGAGACACACCCAAAGGTGCAATTCTGGACAAGAAAGGACTATGAAGACTGGTTGGACTCCCCAGAGGCTGGGGGGAGCAATCATGGTCTATATGCATACCTTGAAGACAAAAACAGCAACATTCTGACCTCAGAAATGCTAACCAAGATTCAAAGAGCTCTACATGCAGGGTGGATTGAACTTCCACAGCACAAAATAGCACTGGATACTTGGGGTAGGGCGAGCATGACTGCCCTCCAATTCATACAGGTGCATATGGAGAAAGACTTCCCTCTGTTCAAGCTCATGGAAAGTGGCTGGAAACTCAAGCATCTGTGTACAAAGACATACTCAGCCTGTAGAACAAAACATCTTGACAATAATGGCAACTTGAAGAGGACTACACACAACACAATCAAAGGAGAGGCTCTTGATGATGATGATGACCTTGAAGGCCTCAATCCCAGCAGTAAGAAGTGCAAGGGACCTGTGGACACTTCATTAACACTGTCCAACAAGAAACAAAAATGTGAGTAATCCTATCTGATACCTTGTACTGATATGCAAAGCCATGGCAGCCTTGCAGTCCTGGGACCCATCAGAATCACTGAAGCTTGCAGCACCAGACTCATCATCCACATTGACATCCCTCAGTTCAGGAGCTTGTGTAGAGTTGCCAATACAAGGTTTGCATCATATTCCTATGCAGCACTGACTTACACCCATATAGAACCACCTGAATATCCTGTCGAGACTGCTTCAGCACAATCGACCCCCCAGGATGTGGGTGCAGACTTGGCCAACAAGGAAAACAATCCAAGCATTGATAATGCCAATATCCTGACCACTGCTGAGAGTCTTATTGTATATAATCCTATGTAACTTCATGCATTCTTCAGGATCACATTTACTGATTTTGGCATCAACTTTGCAGGAGTTTACTTGCAATGGCTGCAGGGAAGGTCAACATAATGCCTGTCCCTCCCATTGTGGAGAGTCCATGACTCAATGAACAAGGCCCTTCCGACAGTGTGTTCACTGATGCATCCCATGATTGCAAAACTGGTGCAAGTGACTCAACAACCAAGGTGAAGAAGACTCTACAGCCATTGGGCACAAAGAACAGATGGTAATGAATGCACTATGGCATACTTCATATATGTTAACATACTCAACAGGAATTTGTGTATGCTACAGTGGTTGAAGAAAATCAATGCCAATGGACAGAAGGAGGATTTTTGCCTGTACTGGGATAAGACTCTAATGCTGGCCACACATGAAGTAAATGATTTCACTTTCCATGTCAACTATTTTTACTGACAATCTGTAGAATTACAACAATGAAGCCAAAGAGCTTGTAAGTGATAAACATGCCAGAAAAGCACTCTAACACATTATTAGGTTGTGAATAATACCTGGACCAAGTCCATCATCAAGCAAGGTATTCTGCATACCTAGGTGCTGTTTTCTGCTTCACATGAAATTGCATCACATCACATTGAACCACACTGCATCACATTGTTATTGCCATCTGCTGGAATCATTGGCATGGGTTATTATTTGACTTATCTTGATTGTGTCACATTGGCATTGCACCAACACCATCTACTATTGGACTTTGCATGTGCATATTAGGGGAATTCACAGCATGTTTTCATGTGCCATTTTCATGCCATTTTAATTTTCATTTTGGACATGCCCACTCAAAAACAATGTGAAAATGGCACTTTGACATTTTCACAGATGCCAGTGCTGACTCAGCATGTCAGTCATCATTTCCCTGTCATGCATGTTATACCACATACACATCATATCCTTTTAGTAGATTTCTTCCATATCTATGCCCTGTAGTATTAAGCTGAGGTTATCTCTGGTGACTCCACCCCAGAAAAAAGAGCTGAAGAAGCCTGCTAGTCATGGCAGAACAGTAACCCCAAGCACACCTCTTGATGGAGTTGAAGACAAGTCCAAAAAAGAGAACAGAGTGACTGGCAGGTGGAAAAAGCATGGTATTCTTGTACCATAAGTCCATTCAGGTCCTGTTAGACAAGCTATTGATTGGTGGCAGATGGAAAAAGCAGCCCAAGCTCACAGATGAGCTGCTCACTCTTGTTGAGAGTAATATGAAGTGGATGGTAGCTTTTGGCTTTGACAAGTCATCTGCTAGCAGCAGGCTCACTATCATTGAGTGCTGTGCCCAGATTGCCCAAGCCCTGTTCATTACAGACAAACCTGGCACACCATTTGGACCATCAGATCTAAAGAAGCTGACAGAAGCTGTGAAAAATTGTATTTCAAGGTGAGTCACATAACTTGGTTTGTTTGATGATGTTCTGAGTGTTCATTAGCCTCTGCACAACTTACAATGACTACCACAAGCAGCTTGGTGAGACTGGGCATGGTCTCATTGTTTCAGACCATGAACATGAAATTACACCTGGGTCTGAGATCGCAAATGTTTATGGTAAGTGTTGGTAAGTGTTGTGGATGTGTACTCAACAAAAATTATGTGGCATCTTCAGATCTCATTAAAGCAAAGTTTCCATGGTATCAACAGATGCATGAGCTTTCAGGCACTAGCCCCATAGCTAGTCATGTAGCCATATCCAACAGTACTTCATCTCTTGACCTCTCTGTTCTTGACAGACTCAAGAATGACACTGATGTCTTTGACAAAGGTGGAGACATCACTGAGGTATTGTGTTACTATGTACATGTGTGATCCATAACTGATTTGATGTGATCAAATGTTCTAGAGTGCTCCCCATGACTTGTCACCATTGAACAACTCCCATCTTGGGTCTCCTGGGTTTGATATTGAATGACCACCTAGTGAAGGGGAAGTGACTGCCCCACTGTCCATTCCTGAGCCCAAGGTGAAGCTCAGTCCTGCATCACCCTGCACAGGCCACTCTTCAGTCAAGAGGAAAAAGACCCCACAGGAGCTTGCATGTGAGATTGTGGAAGGTGAGCATGCAGCTTGACTGCAGATGAGTCTCAATAGTGCAAAGGAGAAGACCAGATGGGAGCATATCAAGAGGGAGGCTGCATGAGAGATGGACACTTGAGATTGAGCAGCTCCATCTCAAGCATCAGCAAGAGGAGGGGGATCATCAGCAAGCACATGAGCTCATGATGATGGACAGGCAGATTAGGCTTGAGGAACTCCAAGCTGGGTTGGGTTCTACTAGTATGCACCCTTCTGTTATTGATCCCCAACTTTCTAAATAGCTTCTTTGTCACTGACTATACAAAAATTCAAATAGGCTTTTCTTTAATTCTTCCCTTTTAATTTTCCCCTCCAATAGTGCAATATCCCTTGACTCTTCATGTTTGTCCTCCATGCTCCCTGCATTTTCTTCACTTTCACCATACCATCCAGCATACTGTTAGGGCCTCCTCTCCTTCTCCATAATTTGAATCCCATTACAATAGAATGAGTCAGTTGAAGTGTTAATGCCCATTTCATGCCCTGTTGCAAATGCATGCAGATGGATACAAGAGATGATCCACAGCACTGCATACTTGATATGATCCTCATTGTTGAGTGGACTCAGAGTCCATGAAGAGATGACCAGCAACCTTTAAGGAACCCAACACAATGCTCAGAACAGATATGTATCCTTGAGACATAATAGTTGTGAGTCTTGTTCTCAGGGATATCCTTTTCTGGCCTAGAAAAATAAGATGTGCCACAGTATTGCTCAATGCTGGCAGCTTACTTTTTGTAGGGTGCTTGGCACCAGGTGTGCAGGGGATATGCAGAATCACCCCATATGAATTCTCCATCATCCAACAAGATGTTGTGGTCCTTTGCAATGCAAGTATCAGAGAAAGCTGTTGCATCATGCTGACTACCTGGTAAGCCAACAACATAGTCAATGATCTGAAGATCAGGGGTTGATACAATCTTGAAAATATTAAGAGAAGGAGTCAAGGATCAGTTGAAAAGATGACATACCTGAACATTGAGTGAGTAATTTGACTTCCAATCAAACCAAGTATTTCCATAAAGACCAGGTCAGGCATGCAAAGGCACCAAGGCCCCATCAACCATGCACCAACCATCCCACCATGCAGGGCAGGAGTGCTCCTCCACCCAGGCCTTGGCTTTCTCCTTCATGTCATCATCAGGCCAGTCAAGTGCAGATCTCCAAAACCTTTCTGAACACACTGCTGTCATAACACAATTAGTCACCAGGCATACTGTACCATAACCAATGCCATCCCAAAGGGCAACTTTCACTGTTGTTGCACCATTCCCATAGTGCCAAAAGCAATACAGTGCAATGGCAACCTGGTCTTGAACTGCCATCTGCTCTGAAGTTGACTGGTTGTGAAAAACTGGATCCTCTTGAAGAGCCTTGACTAGAAGGTCAAAGCATGCTGGAGTGACACCAGGATGGGATCTGAAAATCTCAGGATGATTGAATTTCCAATTGCCAAGAAGCAACTCCAAGTTGGCACTTGTCTTTTTGATGGGTTGACAATTGGCCAGGTAATGCTGCAAGTACAACCCTGGAAGGGCATTCAACACAGCACTACTGGCTGAGGGGGCACTGTGCAGGTGTTCATCAGATGATTCAGAGCTTGCACTCTCAGAACCACTGGAATTGGTGTCAGAAGAGGTTGGGGGATCAAGGTATGAGTGAGATTCAGCAAGTAGAGTAGCCAGATAGACATCAAGAAGGGCTTCTGCAGCTTTCTGCCTTTCTGTGGTGCAAGGCATATGGTTTCTGATGACTTGTTCAAGATAATTAACATGTTTTATCTACATATATTCAAACCTCAAAAACTGCCAAAACAAAGCCAAAACAGGGGATATCAAAGCAAACTGCCATTTTTGGCCTTACCCAGTCAATGAAAACAAAATGAAAATGGCATCAAAAATGACACATGAAAACATGCTGTGAATTCCCCTATTGTACTCTCAGGCTAGCATCCCCTGCATCCAAACTGGGTCATGTGTATTAGTCCCCCACCCAGTAGAATGTAATATGTCATCACACAATATCATATCATGTCATTTTCAAGCAGGTGGCACAGTGCCCATGTGAATATGGCCTGATACATCAGGAAATTAACACTTTACTATTTTTGACCTTTTTGTGACTTTTTTTGACTTTTTTGTGACTATTGTGACTATTTGTGACTTTTTGGGAAGGAACCTACTATCTGTACTTTTTTTTTGACCATATACAGCATTTTGAAGAATGAAAAGAGAACAGAATCTATTGAGACAACTAAGTGATGATATATCTAAGCCAAGAAGACTAGAAAATGTCTGAAAATTCAGAGATATTGAGCCATTGGTGTGATGCACACTGTCTGAGAGAAAAATCACAATATCTCTTTGGAACCTCCATCAATTTGAATGTATGTGGTATCTACTGAAAGCTATGAATTAGGTGGTTTGAACAAGACCAAAATAAGCAAAAACAGTGCAGCCATGCCTGCAGGACATGGGTAATGATAGTAGATTCCTTCCCAAAAAGTCACATTAGTCACAAAAAGTCAAAAATAGTAAAGTGTTGTTTTCCTGATGTATCACTAAGGGCCCATTTGGTAATGCAATTAAGAATGATTTTTCCTGCAAAAAAACTCAAATGAAATCATGAAAATTTGATTAAGTGAAATATTGCCTGATGAGTGTTCAACAGGCCTTATTGTGGTCTGTCAAATGTCACAACATGAGGGAAAATTTTGATTGCTGTGTGGTAGCCCTTATTTTACCAGAGCATAGTTGTTCTGTTTGTCTTCCTGTCACCTTCTGTCCCAAGTCCTTATGGCCAAAAAGTCTGTGAAGGAGTTTCAAGTTTCTGCAGCTGAACTGGGCACAACAGGTGGCACAGCCACACCACAAACAAAGGCAGATGCCATGTCATGGTCCAGCACTGATGAGTCAGTTCTTGTCAGCAAGCTCCTCGAAGCCAAGGACAACATACTCATACTCACAACAGATAGTGGATTCAAGCATGAGGCCTGGGTTGAGGTTGAGAAGGCCCTTCAGGGCAGTGAAACCAAGTCAGGTGGAGCTCCGAAAATTGTTGAACAGTGCAAAACACATTGGGCCAAGGTGAGTTTGGTTGTCGAGGAGTCTATCATGCTGACTGAATTCCCCAGCTCAAGAAGGACTATGGTGTTGTCAAGGAGCTTTGAAAGGCATCTGGGTTTGGGTGGAATGAGGAGACCAAGATGGTGCATGCCACAAAGGAGGTCTGGGATGCCTACATTGAAGTGAGTCTGCATTACCTGGCTGTTTCTATACTGACAACTATCAATAGGTTCATAAGAGTGCAAAGCATTGGCAGACCACTCCATTCCCTCTGTACGATGCCATTGCAGAGCTCCTTGATGGTGTAGTTGCCACTGGTAGTCTATCCTTTCATCCTGTCAGTTGTATCTCAGCTGTAGATGCTCTTGATGGCCTGGATGTAGGTGATGCCACCCTTACTGACTTGGACACAGAGTCTGAGAATAATACAATTGAGGTAAGTGTGAATACCTCTTGCCCATTAAACATGTTGTCTGACCCAGAATAAGCCAACACCCATGTCTTGCAAGCGCTCTGCAATGCAGCTCTCCCCCCTCCCAAAAACCCCAGCCAAGAGGACAGCAACTACCTCACACCATGGCCATATATCTGGCCCCCAGGCAATTACCTCTGTCAGTGATGCACTTTTGTCCCTTGCTGATGCTGTGGCTGCAATGCCATCATCATCAATGACTGAGGCACCAGCTGGAGGCACTTTGTTCATAACTTCTCTGGTGACATCCCCACAGCAATGCATGGCTGCAATTCACCTTGCTTCAGAGGAGGAAGGTCTGTCTGATAATGAGATGGCTGATGTTGCTGACTTGTTTGGCACAAGTCAGGCTGCTGTGGAGGGGTATCTCAGCTTGAGGAAGGGTGCCCAGTTGGTTTATTTACAGAAACAGCTTGAATGTTTCTATTCCTCTGATTCTTGAGTACCTAGATCAACTGTACCTACTGTTCAGCTAGATACCTCTGATACTCTGTCCACATTGCATCTGCAATGTTGTCTCATCATCTGTCAGCCCTAGTCTTTTCTGCAGGGGATATTTCTCCTCCAAGGTCATCAATGGTGTATCCCTGATTCTCTGAGCTCCCCACATCCTCCAACCCTTCTACATCATCACTGTCCCTGAGGTCATCAGGATCATGAGTGTGAATAAAGTTGAAAAGGAAGCAGATGGCATGAATTAGCTTGGCTTGCACTTTGATGGAAAATTCAAGAGGTGTTTTCAGGGAGGGGAAATGATGCTTGGCAACACCAAATATGTGCTCAACTACATTGCGAGCTGATGCATGTCAAAGGTTAAATAGCTCTTTTGGATTCTGAGGTCTGATACCCATTCAATGCTGGTACATGAATAAAGAACCATGTGATGACATACCTATTTGCTGATCTTTCCCATTCCTTGAGATGGTAGCAGACCCCATGATATGGGACAAGCAGAGCATCACAAGAGGGGAAACCTGCATCAGCAAGATAGTACTTGCCAGGGGGAATGTGAAAATCCCTCTCATGAGCATCATGATAGATGTGACTGTCTGCAGCACTGCCCTCCCAGCCACTGAGGATATATTGAAAGCACATGTCAAAACTGCAGGATGCAAGCACATTCTGTGAGATAAATCCCTTGCAATTTCAATAGGGGGCTTGCATATGGGTGGGCACAAGAGCAGCAATATGAGTCCCATCAATGGCACCAAGTGCATCCTTGAAAAAAGGGTAGAACTTTGGCTGGCCATGAATCTCTGGTGGGATAGGAGCATTATGGCCTGGGAGTTTGACATAAGATCCATAGACAGGTGGTGAGATACAAGCTTCAAGCACCTGATGAAACACTCTGATGGTTACAACTCAATTCAGATCTTATCTAGTACAGATCATACTATGGACTCACCTTGATATTGTGTCACCACTGCGCTGGAACCATTCTTGTGTTTCATGGTTGGAGTGGCCCTTTAGAATGTAGAGAAAGATTGCAAGATGTTCCTCCACTGTAAGGTTACAGGTGGGTCACAATTTGCCCACTGTCCATAGGGTATATGCCAAATGATAGAATGTGGGCTGGGCCATACCAATATTCTCCTGGAATCGCAGGGGATGGCCAGTGCAAATCTCATCTACCCATTTCTGACCAGTCAGAACAGAAGTGTGCTTGGGAGTTTTCTCAAGTGAAGCTGCATAAAGAGTTGTGACAGCAGTAGCAGCTCCTGCAGCTAGGGCAACTACTCGTCTATCTCTGATTCAACTACACCACCTCTTGTAGCTAGGATGGTTACACACTGATGCTTCTGCATAATGCTGCCTTTTTCTTTTGTAGTTTGCCACTGTCGTGCAATTGAAGTTGAGGGAGACATTGGGGGCTAATCTGATCAGCATGATCAGTGAAATCCAATCTCATTCAATTTTGTTCCCATGATTGGAGTCATGCCACACTTGTGACCACGAGATTTCATTCAAGTTCTCACGATTAGGTAGGGTTCAGATTCACTTCAATCAGACTTAATTGTGTTACCGAACAGGCCCTTAATATCATGTCACACCAGGTCACATGCACTCATATTGAGCAAAGTCGACGAGGGCATGACTTAATGTGGCGAGATATGAGTCAGTATATTTTCACCGAAAAGATTATACGGTATCATACAGAGGTAGTACCTGGTCATACTATGTCAGTCTCATGTTGCTAGCAGGCTCTGACTCTGTGTGACCACGTATCACTTGCCCGGTTTGGTCACATATGGTCACCTCATGTCACACCCAGCCATAGCCAGTTTTCACTGGGTTTCCACCTGCAACTGCCAGGAACGACAGGATTCGCAATGCCACACCGGAACAGCGCGTTTCTGCCATTGCCTGGTTAATCGCCAGCTCCAAAGAGGTGGAAGATCTGTTCGCTTCTCGTGGCCTTACTCCCCCCACGCTCAGTTCTCCACACATAGCATCTACTCTCGATCGTATCGTTGGCAAGTACTGGGATGGGTTTCCCTCCCAAACCGGTGCTTGGGAGGATGCCATCGCGAAGGCCAAGGAGGACGGGTGCATATGCTCTCCAGCTGATTGTTTTGGTATGAAACGGTGGTTCGATGTGATGGTTTGGTTGGAGGAAAAACCTCCCATCTTGGAGGTGGGTTACGATTCCTGCGAGCGTTGTCGGTCCTTGTAAGTCTGCCTTCAATTACATCTCTGCTTTGGTGTGACTGACCACTCGCAAGGGTTAGGTCTCGATACAAGGACATAACTACCCAACACACGGCGATTTTGCATATCTCGTTGTTGGAAGCCTTTTCCTCCTACTGTTACGATTTCCATCGACTGGATCTCCCCCCGTGGCGTCTAAGTCCAACAGCCAAGCGAATGATAGACGAAAACTGGAACCTTTGATGAAGGAACATAGTTTGGACAAGCGATTTCTTCCATGTGTCAATAAATACCCGCAGTCTTTGCGGCAGTCTTGCGCACCAGACGATGACTCGGGGTCGGAACTGGACGAACTTCAAGTTCTTGATAACGTCTTTGATGGCGTACATGACCCCTGGGAGGTGCTAGGCGTAACTGCGTTGGTGGCTTGCAGGCGGTCCTGACGTCATGGAGACAGATCTGCATGACCAGGGACTGCACCGCGACTTTTCGTCCTTCGCTCGCGGTTTCCTTGCATGCTTTGATATGCCAGTGCCCTCTCGGCTGTCTTCTACGAGCGTCAGGCTTTGTCCATGAACTTGATCGGGACTATTCTGAAGAACGTCTTTTTAGAACGTCCAACGAAGACGCTGACCTTGACTGGGTCCCTTCTGACCAAGATGGCCGGCAGCTGCGATCTCAGTACTGTCGTCCTCCGTTGTTGTAGCAATGTTCCTTCGGAGCAACGACATCGGTGTCTCTCCCTGTCGGAAGTGCCGAACTATCTGTATGAAGTCCTTGGCTGATCAATCGTTGTCCGCGGGCGTCAATGTAATAGGATCTGGTGGTAATGACACAGGGAGGGAAGCAGTGTCTCTGTCACTCCAGGCGTCCTTAGAAGTCAACATCCAGGAACCTGCAGGGATGGAGACGTTCACGACCATGCTGCGAAACCCAAGTCTTTCGAAAGACGAGGTGGAGTTGCGAGTGGTTGCGGAACTCCTCAGACTGGTTAGTCTACTGAGTGCCTCGCATGGTGCTTTCTCTTAACAAGTTCGGTACCAGAAAAAGTACCTTGACTCCTGTGGTTTGGATGCGTCCGACTGTTTCCACCGTTTGGGTGGTGACAATGGGCCATGTCTTGAGTATGTCACGCTCACTCGATCCCGAAGTACCCCACGACTAATTAGGAACGCAAGGGAAAGCACCTTACCAAGACGTGTACCCGGAAACAGTGGTTCGTTGAAGCTATCAAAGTCGGACAAGGTCGAGGCGATAAAGGATAAACTGCCTTGACATGCTCAGTAAGTCAACGGTAATAGTCTTAGACCGCCCATACGATCTGATGTACCAAGGGGAACTGAGTTTACCCTACGAGCGGTTGCCTTGGTATACTCTCGAGAAAGACCTAGAGAAGCACGGGTTTGCACTTGGTCAATTGGCCAGCTGGAGTTCTCCGCAAGTGCGGCAACAGAGGGATTCATGATCTGAGTGCTGTGGAAGTCAATAAACTCTACGAAGCTGTTACGTGTCCAGATGAAACTCGACGTCTACATATTCATCGCCGCCCATCCTCATTGACAGGTATTTATGGGAAATCCCACCGCTATGTTTGCTCATTTCAATCATCTTAGTCGTATCGGTACAGCCGGTAGACTGCACCCCGGTCGTCGCATCAGGCTCAAAGCGCCATATGGAAGAACGTGATTTGCATCCTTCGAAAAGAATTAGGTTCAGGTCTATGAATAGTAAAATCATGCAACAGAATCGAGATGAAGCATCTGATTCATGAGCATTCGCGATCGTCGCCACCATTATCCTTCGTAATCACCTGTAGCCATAATGTAGCCCCAGCCTTGTCGTGTGTACTATAGTGCTGATGCTGACTTAGATTGTGATTTATCGTAGGGTCTTCTATCGAGTAAGAGAGACGACATACAGCCTCTTGTTTCCGCTCGTCTCACTCAGCAAAGCCCCCTCCACCCTTTTTCGCAAGCTCTCTCTCTTCTTCCCTACTGGCGCCCCTTGTTTGCATAGTCCACGAGTACCTCCGTCTCCCCCAACATCAACAGGCCCAACCCGCGTGACATAGCTCAACCAGATTTCGCTTCAGACAAACACGCCGATGCCCGCAGAGTTCTCACTCAGTGGTCTGCTGGAAGCCCGAGCGATCGCCATCCCAGACCGCGCTTGGACGCTTAGCAAGACAACGCCAAATAGGACAGATCAGTCGCCGAAGAAGCCACTCGCGAGGCCAAAGAGGCCGGTCACTTCGCTGCAAGTGACCGCAGAGCATCAGTGGGGACAAGGGCAGGGCAGCCTCGAGAACGCCCGTTCTGAAGGAGCGCAAGAAACATGAATTGAAGTTCGTACTTGTACCCAGAACCCATCTACTATCAAAATGACAATGACGGTTCACATATCAGTCTCCCCGCTTCCGTACAGTGCATGTAGACTGGACGAGAGTGCGTGTCCGCCATGGACGGGTACGACATTCCCAGGACAAAAGACTGGTACTATACCATAACGCTTTTTATCGAGTTCGAATATGTACGACTTCTGCTTTGCTTTATCCGGGTACTGGTTAACACTATATCACCCTTCAGTAACCACAACCCAATTCGATGGCCCCATCAGTCGCCCCCCATCGAGGCTTACAACCAGAGCCGTGGACGCGCAGAATGGAAACAAGTACGTGTCATACACACCTTCATAATCTGTCTCAGCCATCCCGCTTTGCTCTGCTTACTTTCGTGTATTGGCACGCAAGGCAAAGACGATGAGGAAAGGAGGCCACCTGCCATCTCTGCTGCTACGACGCATCGTCTACTTGCGAATCTGGTGGTGAGACTCTGCGCAAACGACGGAAGCAATTGCCAGAGTATTGCCAGAGTCGACATTAATGACAGAGGATACCGTAATGGACCTGAAGCCCACGCTACGCGTTCACATCTACGCAATAACCCATTAACCAACGGCGCTGCGTATCCAAATTTACGAAACTACAGCCTAGACCTCTGGTTGAGCCTCCCACATGTTGGTCTTTGGTCGAACCATCGTGCGATAATTGGTGTCAGGCAATTATTCCCTTCAGCGGTTCCTTTGACTCGTGTCCCTCCAAATCCCCCTCGTGCCCAATCAGACCCCGCTTCCTCGCTACCCGCAGGGACAGGTCCATTTCTTTAAGTGTTCCTAACCCATCACCTCTCGCTGATGTTCCAATCTCTCCTACGCACCCTCGGCCACCTTTTTTCTCTCTTCCCCGAGCTTGGGTAGACTTAGTCGGGATTGATGTCGGAGGATTGCCCAATGTCAATCGTGCTTTTGGACGAGACGAATGACGCGAACAGTGACGACCTGCGGGTAGTCCATTTCTTTCTGAATCTGACCATGTACGTTTTCCTCTTTTTTTTTTTTTGCTATCGTTATTTCATTTCTTTCCTCGTCCCCCAACACCTAACGAAGCGACTGCCTCCCCCGTTTCGGCAATGCTTATGCGTATGTGCATGACAGGACATGGAAGTGCACTCGGAGACCAGATTAGTGATTAGAATAGCCTCCCCAACAACTAGAAGCGCTTGCTGTGTACATAGTCGCAAGTCATCCACTTCCTTTGCACAATCGGTCTCCCCTCACCCAGTTATCGTGGCGGGACAACCTCTTTTCTCCTCATATCCTCCAGTCGCCTTCGGCTGACTTTAGAATGCAGCGGAATCACCAATTCCCATGACGGTGATCCCCCTGCCTGCGGGGTTCTTGATATGTTCAGTAAATCAAGGGCCATGGACTGCTCTTAGATTGCTCATATGATTGGATGTGCCTGTTTATGGTGAGTCACACCGTTATGTTTTCTCATTCCGATCATGGTAGTCACGCCAGTACAACCAATAAACCACACTCAAGCTGCCACGTCGGGTTCAAAATACCCCGTGCCGGAAGGGGATCCTAACAGTCAACCATGAAAGAGAGTCAGGTTCGAGGACGTGACTAGTAAGGTTTCGGTACAGAGCCCATTCAGCTGCAGTGGCATGGACGGATCGAGTGGTTGGTTCAAATCTTTGATTGTACGTTTCCCGGCGTGGACAACATTATAGTAAACGAAGTCTTGCAACCAAGTCTCAGTAGACGAAGCTCGACCATTTTGCGCGTCTTTGTGTACCAGTTTATTACCTTGCATGCAGGCAAAAGTCCCTTGGCTCCAATGTTATGAGTGTATCGCATCATCATGCACCGTGTACACCAGCTGATCGGCCCTCTCTCTCTTATTCACTACTGTATGTCACCATGATTGGTTGATGCGTCCGCCCACAATTTCTAGTCGTGTACGACCACCCTGGTCAACATAGTATCGAATCACCAGATACTCCCAGGTTTCGAGTATACCTTGATATGGCCATTTCTGTATATGAGGACATCCGAGTCATCTTCCGCCAGTCAATGGATATGCAATCACCAGTACTGCAAGGAGCACATTTAATTAGCCACATGTTGTTCCAGTCCTATGGTACGTATATAATCTCCTGTAGATTCACTGTGTCGGTCCGACCTTATTTTTCCCCCCTATGGTAAATCAATACTATCACCATCATCATCATCCTCTCATCGGCAGATCACTTTGGTAGATTTAACCCCTTCATGCGGCCGCGGAATGGAGAAGATTGCTAATTTCATAGAGCACAAGTGCGGTCAGTCCACTGCCCTTCCACGATGTATTCTACGACGACCCAAAATGATGGCACAGGCTGTGTCACTTACAATGATACCATCTGTCAATGATGTTGTTGGCTTGTTTTTTATAGTAATTTTCTCTACATCCTCCTCCCCGCGTGCAGTTCCCATGGCCATGGGATGTCGAGGACAGCTAAGGGTCCGTGTTGACGAACCGACTCCACCCAGACATTCTGGGAATTAGAATTGATGGAAATTCCCATATGCAGACATCCTCCTCTTCGCTGGCATGGGCGAAAATTATGTCCAACTGGTGATCATGCACTTTTCAGGTTTCTGTCAGCCTCTTCCATCGCTAGCCGTCATACACCCCTCGAGATTTAAAGGGCGATGGAAACCGTTATCTGGTCCCCACTACTAGTTCGCCATGGATCCTGCTATCCAATTCATCTTGAAACTCACTCCCTTTACCAATATACGCGCAATCGATGACCATGCTCACATCCTGGCTCACTTGGTCGAGTACTGGGAATGGGATATTGATGCGGTATGTCATTCCTTCTTCCCGTATCTACGATGTTCTCTCATTTGTGTACAGTATCGAAGCTACCTCAAGTATGCCAGCATCACTACATGCATTGCTTTTACCCTGATACCATCCATACAGCCCAAACATTCGCACAGACAATACCTACATAGTCCTATGTGCCCTTGTGTTTCTCACCATGGCGGAATGGATGCACTTGCTTTACGGTGGGCTGACGCCCGAGGAGTTACAGGTAAGGCACCATTCTCTCGCTTACGCATTCATGTTGGTTGAGCCATGTAGGAACGTATAAATGCCATGGGACACCGTACCTTTGCCATCTTCGCTGCCATTCCTCGCCTGGGCGTGGTCATCATCCGTAACATGGAGATTATCGTGATAGCAGACTCCCCCGCTCTTGCTTGTGGCTTCATAGTGGCGAGCATGTTCCCAGCGCTGTTATTCCCACTGATAGTGGCAGGTGCTCAAAAAATACAAGGGTGGATTGCAAATAGGAGACAGCGTGCACCCGAGCACAATGGAGCTGAGGACACATCTACACGAGTGACGAGTGACTCTGAGAATCAGCAGGTGCGAGTGAAGCCTATGCACCTTGATCTTTGTTGACATGGCGGCCAGAGCGTTCATGTCCCTGATGACGTCGAGTCATCGGTTCGTCACAATCGGCATCTCCGTTTGTTCGAAGGACAAAGTGGATTCAATCCAGCAGCTGAGGAACACGATTAACGTCGTCGCCTTAGCATTGCGTCTTTCCCCATCATCTGCTTCACACCGCCTTGTTTCAGGCAGAGAAGATATGAATTCAAGGTACACCATTCTTCCGTTATATGCTGCGTTCGATAGACAGAACTACTTTGTATTTCGGGTTTCCTATTTGTTTCGTTTTAATGTATACCTACATGCACAATACCCATATTCAGCGGTTTCTTCAATGAGCCAACCTTTATTACGAGTTCTCGGCAAGTAAAATTTGTAGGTTTGCCATGTGTCCAGCCTGGCAAAGCGGAAACGTTGCTTGCTATTTGACTATTTGAATGTAAGCAAAGCCCAGCGCTCACAGGTACTGATCCAGTCGTTCTGGTCCATGTGCTCAAAACAACCCTTGCAGTACCAACGCACGCCGGAAATAAACTCTATCCATCAATGTTGGCCCTCACTGGATCAAATCAAGCTGAAGGCCAGTAGACGTGGATGGACGAAGAACACCCTGCCCTCCTGCTGCCTTCAGACCCCCAGTTCTGTCCGCTGACTCATCGAATGCCCTGTGGCCCTGAGAGATATTCTGGGATGGGATGCATGGGAACTCGACTGAGTTTCTGCACGCGGATAGGTTGAACCTCGAACGCATTGAGTTGGATACACAAGTGCCGGCGGGACATAGAATTTTGAGTGGTGAGTATGACACATTACATGCCAGTTCGTAGAGCTTTAAAAACCAGTATAACTTATGCACGAACAGACTAGCAATGGGTCACCACAGAACCCTAACTCCACCCTTCAGTGACCTTGCAAAAAAGGTAATCGGGCATGCGGACTGCGTCATGACCACACGTGCGAATGGCACGGCGAGGATGATAAACACTTGCCACTAAGAATCCGGAAATGACGCTGGGAAGCTGATGACACTAGTGGACCACAGTACTGCCATACATCCACCTGCAAGCGGTCTTTGGCCAGGACCGCCCCAGGGATTCCGAACACCACAGCGACGTTCTGTTCTAGCAATTTTCTATATGCAGACATCTTCGTCATACCTTGGACGTGATTGCAGTCAATACTTCCTCGCCGATCACAGTTCTCCAATCCCCAAGGCAACAGCCAGGACAATTTCCTATGTTTATTAACTTTACTTATGCGCGGTTCACAACTGACAGTTTGAGGGTGAGACAACGGGTCCGGATTTAACTGTTAGTCGGTTATAGTCCTGCTACCCTGTTGCTGAAGTCACTCTTGCGACCATCAATGCAACTGGACTTCCATCTCCACTTTCTCCGTTTCACTAACTATTGGTGCAATGTGTCGATATCGTTTTCGATCTCAACATACATTCTCGATCGTGTCTATGCGTATTACCAATTATACCACTCAAACATTGTACAGAAACCAAATCTCCGCAGCGAGAATGCCTCCACTGAATGACATGGACAGTTAGCCAGGTGACAGTCGGTAGCCAGTCAATTAAGGATCAGCGGGTGCGCATTAGACTTATGTACCCGGTGGCGTGCTGGCATGGTCGCCAGCCATCGACAGTACAAGGCATGGTTGATGATGTCGAGACCTCCCTCCGTGCGAACACCGGCGAAAGTTTCATTCCAGCGACCAAAAGCGCGATTGAGGTCGTTACTTCGATGGTATGAATATCTGTCTTATGTTTCGTTGTCAAAGCAGGGGTGACAATCCTGAGTTGTGTCGTACTTGTTGTTCGGGTGGGTGAGGGCGCTACTTGGTAATTCCGCCGTGCTTGAGATTAAGTGGGTTGGACGGTGTATCCAGGATGTCCTGTTTCGTTGTTTATGAACATACCTCAAACGCATGTGACAGGCCTGCATACCGCCATTGATCGATCAGATGGCACAGTTTCCTGCATGCCTCATGTGTAGATTCTGAAACCACCTTGAGAATGGCATTCCAATAAGACTAGACTGGATACGAGGTCCCCACTGATCCTACTGTCCCTTAGAGCAGCCGCATGTATGGTGCGTGCCCACCAACCAGTGTTTACCTTCGGCATAAAAGCCATTCTATTGCACGATCGTGCTAATTGCCCCTCACCCAGCTATCGTAACGAAACGATCCCTTCGCTTATCATGTCCTTCAGTTACCCTCCATCGTGTTCAGAGAATGCATACCTGAGCATACTCACCAACTCTTCTGATGGTGACCGGCGCGTTGCGCAGTGTGGGTGGGGTCCGTCATCGGTCGTGCCCAACTTCGATACTCCCTCCATGTCCAAGGATGCCGCATATACAAGTTTCCAATATTCGCATTCTGGTAGCAGTTTGGAAGGACTTGACAGTAGCACCAGCACGGTCGTCCGAATGTCCCAGGATGTTAACAATGTGTGAGTGGGCTGTATGACGCGGACACATGGTCTTCATCGACGATGAGGGTGACCTTTTAGCAGCAGGTCCCAGCAGGGTAGTGCCGTGGCAGATGACGAATGCTTCATCCGACGGCGGTCTGAAGGGAAACCGCTAAAAGAATGGAGGATGGTGTTTATCTTCCGTGCCATTAACTGTTTAGTGGGCCGGATGTGCTGCGAATGCCGGTTACGAAAAGCGCTTTGGCTCAAACTGATTGAGGGGGACGTGGACGACGACGTGTGGCTTTGGGTCGACGACGATGAAGAGTGGCTTGCATCCGAGAGACCAGCTTGGCATTCGTGGTATGATCGGCTGCTTACGGAAGATGATTGGGTCAGCGCTGAGTCAGCGCTGCGTCGTCGCGTCGATCAGCAGCGAGATCCACCCGCAACTGCCAGAAATGACAGGATTCGCAATGCTACAACCAAACAGCGCGTTTCTGCCATTGCCTGGTTAATTGCCAGCTCCAAAGAGGTGGCAGAGCTGTTTGCCTCTCATGGCCGTACTCCCCCCACGCTCAGGACTCCACGCATAGCATCTACTCTCGATCGTATCGTTGGCAAGTACTGGGATGGGTTTTCTTCTGAAACAAGTGCCTGGGAGAACGCCATCGCAAAGGCCAAGGAGGATGGGTGCATATGCTCCGCAACGAAGTGTCGTGTTATGCAGCAATGGTTCAATATGATCATTTGGTTGGAGGGAAAACCTCCCATCTTGGAGGTGGATTACGAATCCTGCGAGCGTTGTCGGTCCTTGTAGGTCTAGTTTCATATCATATCATTGCCTTGGTATGATGACCAGTCGCAAGGGTCAGGTCACGATACGAGGACATAACTACTGAATGCACGGCGATTTTGCATGTCTCGTTGCTGGATGCCTTCTGCGACTACTGTTCCTATCTCGATGTATCAAAACTCTTCGCACGGCGTCTAAGTCCAACAGCAAAGCGAATGGCGGACGGAATACTGGAACCTTCGATGAAGGAACATGGCTTGGACATGCGATACCTTCCATGTGTCAACAAATACCCGCAACTCTTGCGGGAGCGTGTTGCGGAGCTGACTTGCTCACCAGATAATAACTCGGAGTCGGAGTTGGCCGAACTTCGAGTTCCTGATAACATCTTTGACGGCGCACATGACCCTTGGGTGGTGATAGGTATAATTGCGTTGGTGGCTTGTGGTGACAGCTATTGCAAGAACACAAAACGGCATGACCAGGAATGGCACAAGACCTTTTCGTTTATTCTTCGCCACTCCCGTAAATGCTTTGATATGCCCGTGCTCCCCCAGTTGTCTTCTACGAGCGTCAAGCTTTGTCGTGAACTTGACCAGGACTATTCTGAGGAACTTTTCTTTAGTAACCAGTCCAACAAGGACGATGACTCTGACTGGGTCCCCTCTGACCACGATGACCGACCGCTGCGTCTCAGTACTGTCGTTTTCGTTGCTGTATCAATGTTCCTTCGGAGCAACGACATCGGTTTCCCTTCTTGTCAGAAGTGCCGAGCGATCTGTATGAAGTCCTTGGCTGATACATCATCATCCGTGGGCTTCGAGGTGATAGATTCTGGTAATGACACGCAGGGAGGAGGCATGTCTTTATCAATTCAGCGCCCCTTGGAGGTCAACATTCCGGAACCTGCGGGGATGGACGAATTCACGACCATGCTACGTAATCGATCTCTCTCGAAAGATGAGGTGAAGTTGTGGGTGGTTGCGGAACTCCTCAAACTGGTCAGTCTACTGAGTGTCCCACATTGCGCTTTCTTCTAACAAGTTCGATACCAGAGGAAGTACCTTGACTCCTATGGTTTGGACGCGTCCGACTGTTTCCACCATTTGGGTGGTGACAATAGCCCATGTCTTGAGTCCGTCATGCTCACTCAATTCTGAAGTGCCTCGCGACTAACTAGGAATGCAAGGGAGAGCACCTTACCAAGATGTCTATCGGCAAACAGTAGCTCCTTGGGGCTACCCAAGTCAGACAAAGTGGAGGAAATAAAGAAAAAACTTCTCGATATGCTCGGTAAGTCAACGGCCATGGACCGCTCTTGTTCATGCGATCTGACATAACTAGGAGAGCTTAGTTTACCTTGCAAACGCTTGCCTTGGTCTACCCTCGAGCAAGAGCTAGAGAAAAATGGGTATGCATTGGTCAATTGGCCTACTGGAGTTCATAAACGCGGGAACAAAGGAATCCATGACCTGAGTGCAGTGGATGTCAACAAACTCTACGATGCTATTACGTGTCCAGACGAAACTCGCCGTCTGCACATTCGTCGCCGCCCATCAGCATTGACAGGTATTTGTGGCGGATCTCATCGCTACGTTTGCTCATTCCGATCATACTAGTCGTGCCAGTACAGCCAATAGAATGCACTCCGCCTGTTGCATCGCGTTCAAAGCGCCCCGCAGAGGCACAAGATTTGCACGGTCACTCATCGAAAAGAATTAAGTTCAAGGACATGACTAGTAAAGTCATGCAACAGAACCTAAGTGAACTTCGGGGGGATGGGATGACTGGTGCATAAGTCTCGCGATTGGATTGTTTTTGCGCTGCTATCCTTGATAACTATGTGTAAGTTACGTGTCGTCATAAAATGTTCCAGAGACCTAGTGTGTACTATAAAGAATCGAGTGGATCTATCGTGAAGAAAGAGAACTTTGATGTCCGAGCCCAGCAAAATGGGCCACCCAAGTTACAACATGATCAGTATCACGTTGGCGGATGCAACCTTGTAATCCACCTACTTATCGCAGCTCGTTTCAACACCCCAATGACAGCTCACAGTTCCCCCCTGCTAAGTGAAGCATACCTTGTCCTCCGCCCACATAGGGACATCCGTTACGATTATTATTACAAGTCGGGCTGCGCGTTTTGTATTCTTAGAGAACCCACGCGACTTGAGTGATTTTGGTTTGCGCAGGAAAGGATGTCTCGATCCTGACAAGTGGAGAGGCACGAAATGAGGGGAAAGCCTAGATAGTCGATGTTGTATCGATTCCACGAATCGCAAGCCGCCGAATTCAGCCTCGGTACGCAGGCAGACTGACGGCTTAAGATGGCGAGCGCGTGCAACAGCTTACGGGTGTCATATCGAAGCACCACTCCCAGGCTTCGAGTATACCTTTCTATGGCCATTTCTCTGTCGTGGAGATCCCCCTCATCTTCGGCCAGGTTGCGGAAGAATCCATTAGCAAAAGGTTGAAGATGGCGGGCCGCAGAATGGATGTTATGTGAGGAAGCTCACCTATATTTGACTGATATGATATGATCGTGGTAACCCAAGGTCGGTCTGACGAGGGAAGGAGACCGATGTGGCAGGCAAGTGTGGAGTAACATGGGGAATCACAAAAGCTATTCTTGAACGACGTGTAACGAGCATCTCAGGCCCCACCAGTGGTGCCCGGGTCCTTGGAGGGGAAGGGACTCACCTTAATTGCCGTGGGCACACACATAGCGACGGCGGTCCCGCTGCGGCCCTGGTGCACTATCAGCCCACTGTGACTAGTTGTTAGTGTTCCATCGAGGATGGTTGAGTAGTACCTGGCAGGGCCGGAAGCGAAAACGATAAGACTTTTCTTCGTTGGACAGCCTTATTTTGTAAATTCCCTCCTATGGCAAGTCTTTACTTTGCATCCTCATCCTCATCCTCGCATATTGGCAGGTCACTGCGGCCGCGGAATGGAGAACCTTACTAGTAGCATCATCATGGCTCGCCCGTCTATGGTGGTGCTAGCTTCCTTCGTACAGTAATTTCTCAACATCATCCGGAGTCCTCTCCATGCCTAACCCCCATGGGTCCATATATTGTGACGGATACTCCAAACTTATGGAGGCCCTTATCAAGGAAATGTTGGAAATATCTTAATAGTTCCGACATATAGATTGATCCAGACTTACACGTGTATCAACACATTGTCCATCACATGACTTGCCTTAGCAATCAGCTCCACAATGACATCACTTACGACATCATTTCATACATCATATTCCATGACATTCTCCACTATTCCTTACTATACATAGTAGTAGTTTCCTTTTATGCTACTGGTCCATGCATACCTACTCATGTATATAAACTCAGGGTATCTCTCCCAGTGTCCTCATCACAATTACAATCCACATTGCCTTCTGTCTTATGACAACTACTCGAGCCCCAACAAGCTTTTACTCTCGAGTCTACAACTGTTCTAACTAAAGGCAAGTGCTCTTGTCTTTTGCTCTTCATTCTTCCTGTCCTCTGTGCAATAGGTTATGAGCCCTGCCTTCTAGGTGTGTGCTATTTACACATTTGCAAAGAGTGATCACTGCCAACAGGCATATCACTATGGATGCTGTAGGCCTAGATGTGCTAGGAATGGCTGTAGCTATCTTCACTTTGTCACTTGTGGCTGGATTAAACCAGTCTGTACTTTTACTTCATTATGGTGGCCTGGATGCATTGACCCTGCAGGAGCTTTTTATATGCTCTACTGCCTTTTGGTTTACTCTATTAGGTCTTTCCGCCTGGTGGTGATGACAATAACTTTTGCTCAAAGACACAGTTGTTTGTTGGGCTTTAATCCAAGCCCTCATACATTGTCCACCTACTCCTCCTCATTATTTACATTTCCACCTTCCCAACGTCGATTTTGAAGCTGACCTAGATCCTGTACCTCCATACACCAAGGTTAAGGCTGCTGACACACCTGCTCCTTGTTGTGTGCTGACTCCTCTTCCTGAGGAAGTCATCACCCTGAACAAGTTGCTCAACCCAGAGCCTGTTCTTGCTATCGTTGGCAACCCCAACAATAATGCTGAGTTCGACTTACTTTAACTCGTTCATGGCTTTCTACTGTCATTACAGGAACTAATCTATGGTCCTTACAAGATGTCTCTTGTCATTGCTAAGAAAACCGAACTTCAAATTGCTGAACACTGGGATGGAATGTATGAGGGAGCCAAATGGAGGAAGTATGTGGTGAAGGAGATAATAGAGTATACTGAGATGTTATACGTACATGACTGTAAGTCCTGGAGAGAGGCAGTCCCCTTGTCTATGGCTTTCTTCAAGAAGCCAAACCCAGCAACCTATCTTGTTCCACTAGCCACATTGGAAACAGCATGGCAGAATATGCCCCACTTTCCTGGCTTCAAATCACCTTTCTTCTATCCTGGCCTTCATCTTGCATTTCATGGCTATTTTACCGACTTCTTTCCCAAATTAACCCATACTTCAACTCCACATGCCATTGCTAACTTTGACAGTTGTGATCTTCCCAGTGCTTACTATGAAGATCCTGCCCTCGACACTGTTCCCATGTTCACCATATCACATGACACCTTCATCTATATTTACTACAATGCCCATCCACTCTATGACCCATGCTTCAACAGCATCATCCCTCCTCTCCACCTTTGGCACCAACATCTTGAATACCATTTCAGAGGAGTTTGGGCTGATGGAAGCACCAACATCCAGTGCATCCCAAGATGGTTCTGGGAACAGTGATGTGGCAGAGACTGCTTTGATAGTGGTCTCTATGGGTTTATTCAATGACTTGCTCATGAAATCGATTTGGGAAATAGCCTGCAATATATGCCTTCTAACCAGCATCTTTCATGGTCTGGAGGCCCCACTCACACTGAGTTTGCTTACTGGCCCAGCACAGCAGAGATTCTTCATGATCTCAAGCATGCCATGGAGAAGAGTGATTTCGACTATCTCATGGAACCAAGATGCCGAGGAATATGGACCACAGCTCTTAGCCAAGCTCATGCAGCTTGAGCCGTACACCAAAGTTTATCCTCTTCCCAGTATGATGGATGTACTGTACATATCTGGCAGGTGATACCACATGGGAATTAATAGTTGTATTGTGGACAAGTTGTATAATGTACTTGAAGTTTTTTGTAAAGATTTACATTTTCACCACTCTGCTTGTTTCAATGTACCATATTCTTGCATGGATCCACATCTTGGATTTACTTCTGGAGGAGAACCTTTGCACAACTGTAATTGGTCATTCTTAGGCTATCATTATTTTCCTCCACTAGACTTTGATTGTCTAGAGCACAATAACTCTTGCATCCCTAATAGGTGATTTGCTGAGAGAGGTACACCTATTTTGAAACAATGGTGAAATCCTCATCCACACATCCCTAAATATCGCAAGCACTGCCCATCTCAATCTGCTAGAGCATCTGCTTGCAGACCAAAGGTTAACACAATCCACACATTAAATCCTCCATCCATTATAATCCATCTGACTCACTCATTCTTATACAAACACCTGCTTATGGACTTTTGACACCTAGATGTCCAAAGGTCTTTCCAAGCAGATCCCAAAACTCAATGGCATTAATTATGCTTCTTGGTTGGTTCTTATGAAGGCTTACATGCAAACTCTTGGAATTATGGGAATTGTTGATGGCACAGTAGCTTTACCAGCTGCTGGACAAGCTGCTATTGATGTGTGGAATACTTCTGATACCCGTGCACAAGGCATCATTACTCTATATTGTGATCCAATGATCACTATGTCCATTGATGGTTTGGCAATGTCTAATGCCAAATGGATGGCTCTCCATGATCGTTATGGCACTCCTTCTGCCATGACCACATTTATGGAATTTCAAAGGCTTATTCACATTCAAATTAAACCAAAGGATGATATCATGGTTAAGATCTCCAAGATCACCATGCTTATCACAGCAATTGCCACTCAAGGCATTGCTCTTAATGATAAAATCAAAGCCTTAATTCTCATCCATGCTATGTCCCAAGTGTGGGAACAAGCACCTGTCAATATCTTGTCCTCTATTCCTGCTGATCAACTTGGACCAGATACGGTCATTCCGAGAATGAAAGAAGTCTGGGCCCATAAATTGGGCAAATCTATGCTTCCACAACAGGAGAAATCTGGGTCTTCTTCAACCCAGATTAAACAAGAATCTAATTCCCTTCTGGCATGCATGAACAAGCCTCCTCCTTGCCAAATTTGCAGAGGTGGCCATAATATTCATGACCATCAAGGTGGATTTGGATCTGGATCTTTCCATGGAAACCATGGAGGTCATGGAAGAGGTCATGGAGGTCACAGTTGTGGACATGGAGGTTACACTCCTTACCCACAACAGCAGCAGCAACAGGGTTCTGGCTCTTGTGGTTGAGGCCAAAAGTGTTGTTGTGGCAAGGGCAAGGCCCGAGCCAATAATCTCGAAGTAGAGGGAGCAGAAGCTATTAATTCCACTTACATTGAAGAAATCCCTGAGGGGATGTATGACCCAAACACTCGCTCTTATGCTGGAGAGTTTGG